CATGGAGAGGAGGTTTCCTGCCAGCTCTGTCTTTGCCTTTCCCAGGCCCTCTGGAGCAGTGCCCTAGGTGTGAACCTGCATACCAGCACCCAGAGTTAAAAGGAGGCTTGCTCTTGGCCTGTTATCTCAAACTGGTGACCTCAATGCCAAAAAACACTGAGAAGACCCTTACAAGATGCGTTTTTGCCTCACAAGGGCCTTGTCAGGGAACAGAATACTCCCTGCTGTTTGAGCTGTGAGGCTCTGGGAGGTGCAGGGCCGTGACACTCAGCACAGGGTGCCACACTTATCTGACAGGCCACGCTGCCCGCGGAGGCTGTGCCTGCGCTGGGGCCTCTATAGCACCAGTTAGGGCTGTCTGGGAGATTTCGCAAACACTTCAGGGCTGAAATCTAACAACAGGCTGTTTCCCAACACTTTGCAGCCCTCCACCCCTCCCCGAGACCGATCCTGCGTGCCCTGGTGCTGCTGTGAGCCAACCCCAGGTGCTGAGCAGGAGGCACAGCCAGGTCAGCTTGATACCAGCCTCTGTCAGGGACAAGCTCCCAGCCTTTGCAGAGCTGTTTCCCATCCCTCCCTGTACCTGTCTGGGATTTCTCCTGTCAACATTCCCACCAGTTCCCTATGGACTGGCCTTTCTCAGCAGGGATCTGCCTTGGGATGTCACCAGCCTCTTCAGATAGTTCCCATGGTTGGGAGCGTGGCATCCAGGACAAATTCAGCCCTGTTTCCAAGAGGCAGCTTGGGGTTTATCCAAGGTATTATTGTTTAGGGTGGGAGAGGATGCTTAGGGCTCCCATGCCTCGGTGGAGAGTGAAGTCTGGGTTCATGCCCTGTGAAGCGTGGGTGCTGAGTTGGTTGAGGTGATGGTGTCTTGGATCTCCTATGCATTACACCCAGGACAGCCATGCCATCATCCTGCCCAGCCCCTCATCCACCTGCTGTTCTTGCTCCTCTGAGTTCAGAGCAGGGCACTCTTCACGCTCTGGGTGATGGGCATGATGTAAGTCGTGTCTGTTTTCTCTTGATGATGAATAGGTCTGTGGTCCAGTGTGGTTCTGGGGTGACTCACATTCCCTTGAGTGCTGTCCATCCACTGCATGGCCGTTGTGGATCATCTCCAGGAGATGTGTGTGTGTAGGGAGTGCATGTAGGCATGTGGAGCTGTGTTCTTCAGTGATGCCTTTTTCAACCTTTTTTAGTTAGTCTGAGGATACACTGTCTTGCACCACTGCACCAAATGTCCAATCCAGGCTATAAGCTTAATTTTTTATCTTTTTCTTCCTACCTCCCAAGGTATTTGCCAGGTTTTCAGGGAGATAGATGTAGGTGAAATGCAGGGCTTGGTGGTCGGAAGAAAGAGGAGCTGATTCCTTACTGCTGGCCTTACAATGGGTATATCTGGGAATTTCAATGCAGGTCATATATTCTGTTAATGAGTCGGGCTTTCACAGGCCTATTTAAAAAGAAAATAGGCAGTTAATCTTGGAGTATGTATATCTGGGCTCCACACCTAAATGGGCTATCATTCAGCAAAAGGTTCAGCATTTATTATTTCTAGCACATCCTGCAGCTTTATTCATGGCTGTGCACTCCAGAGGGCTGTCACTGTAAGAGCCCAAGGCAATAGACAGTCCTTCTTCTAAGGGGTTTTACATTTTCTCTGAGCTGGGTACTTCTGACAGTCCCACTGGATTCTGTGTGTGGGTTGGATTCCCTAAATACCTATGGAAATCAGGTCCTCGGGGGACTCAAATGTGTATTTGTTGTAAATGTTGTTTAAAGTGGAAACCCTGCATTACTGTTAAGTGTTTGGAGAATTTTGTCATGTCTAATACAAGTGTGGCTGTGCTCATTACCCATAGAAATCTCTGCCTTTTCACATAATAGAAAACTGATCTCTGGAGCTCACTGCCATAAGACAAAACAATTCATCTATCTGGACAATAGCACTGTAAAAATCGAATTGCATAAAAAGCCTCCATAAGGGACAAAAAGTGAATAAGACTGATCTGATCAGGAAGAAACCCTCCTACACTCAGGCTACCCACTGCTGGGAACTGCTGCTGAGCCACGGAGCTGTCTGCTCCTGGGGCCACAGCTCTGCCTCGGAGAGAAAAGCTGCTCCTCCTCTGTCCATGACCATTATTAGGAGACCAGGGGGGTTCTGGAGGACAACACACAGCAAGGCATTTCTTCTCTAGTGGCTCCATCTCACCAGGAGCTGGTTGTAATGCAGTAGGGATCCAGTCTTGCACATGCACCTTTTCAGGTCACCCCAGTGCTGAGCGCAGGCTTACAGTGAGCTGTAAGAAAGCCAAGGGGAAAACAAGGGACTCACAAGGAGAAACTGGAAGAGAAGGAATGAAAGAGGTAGATCAGTTCAGGCAACATCAAACTCATGCCAGTTTGGGTGTCTGTGGCCACTGTTTGAGCACAACCCACAGAATAGGTGAGGGGAACACGAGCTGGCCGTTTGGAGACACAACCCTGCAGGGCTTTCTTTCCCTCTTGGCTCTCGTGTTCCTGCAGGTGAAGTGGGAGCATGTCTGGGATGTCTGTGCCTGCAACATGTCCCACTTAAGCATGGACAGCAGCAGAGATGAAGTGCAGTAGGCTGTCAGGACTAATTTCAACCACTTTACTGAACTGCCTGAATTGGGTGTGTGGTTGTCCTGCGCTCACTGCAAAGGGTGGGTCCACCTTCCCTGTCTCCCTTTTGAATGAGGGGGCCACTTAATCACCTTTGTCAGGCTGTGACAGACAGACATGGTGAATCCAGGACAGGGAGAGGAAAAAGCTTGATCAAGACAAATGAAGGAATTAGGGTCCCAGGTCTCACCTCCAACTAGTAGCTTTGTTGTACAACAGGGAGGAATTCCTAAGTCAAAATCATTGCCAAATCCAGGCTGAAATGAATGATTCAATAAAAAAAAATAAAAAGAGCAGAAAACTCCAGACATATTTAAACGTTTTGTTTGAGCATTTTCTAAGTGAAACAGGTTTTTATTTGAAGACATAATGTTTTCTGTGAAATAGTCTTTTTTATTTGTTTTCTTGAAGGGAAAGGTCAAATCTGAAATGCAGGAGATAATCTAAACCAAAATGTTTCTTCTACAGTGAACAGAAAAGCTCATTTTTTTCATGTATCTTTTTGTCTTCCTTTACAGTATTTTAATTCAGTCATTAAACAAACCTTCTTCAGCCTCCTCCCCAAACCCCATTTTTTGCAGACTTCTGTGTTTTCCTATCTAAGAATATTCATAACACTGTGATACGAGGCAGTCCTGCTCGAGCTGGCTTCTGTTGGATCAAGTGACCCTTAAGCTCCTATTGTTTTCTGCAGTTTATAAACTTACTTAGTTGCCAATTAGTTGAATTCATTTGCTTTTAACCTTTTGGACTATCTCTTCTCTTTGCAACCTCCACATTTGTGCACTCTGTAGATTCAGATTATGCAGTGGTTGGTTATTTAGTTCACAAGTCACCAAGGCCACAGTGAAGAGTCATCACCCTGTTCTACCTGGAGGGCCATGTCTAATGTGAATGAAGTCAAGGCAAAGGGAGGAGGCTCTCTAAGCTCATTTGGTGATGAGCCTTGGCTATTTAATGTCTCTGTCAGCATGTCCCTGCCTTAGGCTCCCCAGTTGTGAAATAAAGCTCCACACCCCTCCTTCCCGTTCTTGTGCGCGTCAGGAGAAAGACATGCTGGATGTGTAGGAACACGTGTGGAAGGTCTAGGTGGAGATGACAGCAGGGTGCTGGGTCCACATTCCTAGATGTGCTGGGGGTGATACACAGGGAACAGGCAGACTCAGGCGTCGTAGCCTGGAGAAAGTGTTTATGAGAGTGAACATGCGGCAGCAGAGCCAAGGGAGGCAGTCGGAGCGCACGAGTGCAGCCCTTGTCGGGAACGTTGGAGCAGGTTGTGGCACTGCCTTGGAAGGAGTGTAAAGGAGGGGAATGAGCTCATGTGCTCTGTGCAGATGGGAGAAATTCTTGAGAATTCACTTCAGGGCAAGTGAGACACTGTTCCACTGCCGCCTCCTATTTTTCAGGCAAATACTATGATGCAATAGGCCAAAATCAACTTTCACTAGCCAGGCACTGCAGGGTATTGTTTCAGCTCCTTCTCACGCTTATCCAGAGGGACCATGGATAGATGACAGCTGGTGCACGTAGCAGCATCTCACTGCATTCCTTTGCAGTTCCTCAGTGCCCCTTGGCTGCATCTCTGACCTCAAACACGAGAGGCGTTCAGAGAAGTCTCTGCTGGACTCCAACTTTGCTGATCTGCAAGACAGTGTTTGGTTCCATTTCTGAGGAATTGAAACCAAGAACATCTACAGTTAAATGCACAAATGGAGTTAGGCATGGCAGTAGCCTATGTAGGGCCCTTCTGTAGAATGATGCCCTACAGAGGGGAGTTTATGTCCCAGGAGTAGGGTTCCCCAAAGCCCCCGTGCTGGAAGTGGGTAGGAGTGCTACAGGGGGGCTGGAGTTGGAACCTCCCAGACCCAGCAGTGTTTGGTGAACATCTGAGCTGGTCATGTGAGATGAGGGTTTGTAACCTTGCTGTGCTTTAGCGTTTGTAGCCCTTGGGGTAAGGCCAGCTTTCAGAAGAAGCTGGCATTGTAATGTGATCCAAGCATGGTGGTAAGGACCCCAAAAAGCCCCAGAGTTGCCTGAGAAGTACCCGTCTCTTCAGCCAGTTGTGTTTTTGTGCTTGATGGGAACTGTTAGGGGAGTGAGTATATGCTGACAGGTAATTGTGAGTCAACCAGTTTCTTTTCACAGCCTTTCATATAAACAGATAAGCTCACCTGAGGCCTCTGTGCACCACCAGCTCAGCACTAACATAAATCACCGTAAAATGGTAACATAGCTGAAGATTGCAGCTGATCTCTGAAGATTTCACTCCAGAGGTCTCGTTTGTTCTCCAGACTGCTGTAGGTGTGTTCCCTCCTTCATATCTTTGTGTCTTTGGCTTCCTTCCCCAGGTCACACCATTTCCCATGTCCTGTGACCTACAAGGAGAGTGTGCTTGCCGGGACCCCAACGCCCAAGAGCACAACCAGAAAGACCTCCGTGGTTTCAGTCTTGGGTAATGCCAAGCGACGTGGAATTGGAGGACCACACTGCTCAAGGCAGGCTAGGAGAGACACCACATCCCTTTTGGTATCGTTTTTAACATTTAGCTGCTCAACTGGATGGCATTTCTGCACCAGGGACCCTTAGAATTCAACCAGTCTGCCTTTAATTTTTGTCCAAGGAGAACTAAAGTAGGGGTTTATGTATTAACTATATGTTTAATAGTGATGACGAGAAACAACCAACCAAGAGTCAAGTCGAGAAGACTTTCATGTATCAAAACAGCATGTTATGCCCACCTAATTTGAACAGTTCATATCTAGATTCAAGGCAAGAAACAAACTATTTATGTACACGTATTTATAGAAATAAGTAGAGAAAGAGAGAAAGAGTGAGAGATTATGATCAACGCAAAAAACACTTTCCCCTCCCCAGCACTCACAACTCAGACCATTCACGGGAGAGGCTGTGCTCTTGGAGGACTCCAAGCTGAGCCTTTTCTGATGCTGAATGCCAAGATATCGCATGCTCGGGGCACTGAGGTTGGGGTAGGATCTCCACAGGGCTGGGCCTCTTGGCAAGTGACCTGTCGGACACCCAGCCAGCTCGAGAACGTGGGATGCATCTGCGCCTCACAGGAATGCTACTTCCAGCCAGGGAGCTCAGCAGACTGCAGTGGCCTTTCTGTACAGCTCCTCCTCCTCCTCCCCCCTGCTGCCCTCAAAAAGCCAACAAAAAACCCCCTTGTAGCCTGCAGGGCTTCTGGGACGTTTCTTTGTGGAGATGGGCAGGTGGTCCCGTGGTGGAGTCAGGGAGTGGGGAGCCCAAGGACTGGCATTGAGGAACGTGGATGGATGATTGCTTCTGAGGAGCAGAGAGGGTAACTTGCGCCCGCACCTGTCATTTGAGCATGTCTGCTGCTGCTACTCCTGCTGCTATGTCCCATTCAACTAGTTTCCTTACTGTGTCAGGACAGGGTGAAAAACAACCCCATGCAACCAAGCAGTCTGCCTTAAAGCTTACCTACAACCTGCCTTTCAAACCCTCTGGTCACTTCCTCAGCGTTGGGGCAAGAAAAAAGGACACCAGCCAGCCAAGGGAACCTGCTTTCTGGTCTCCACCCAACCAAGTGGTTCTCCAGACCTCCCACACCCCACTCTTACGGTGGTCTCTATCTGACAACCGCTTCATGCTCCTGTTTTTTCAGGAGAGGGGAAGAGGAGGAGGAGACACATCACAGGAGACAGTATTAGAATTTTGGCCATATTTGTCAGTATTAAGCTGCCAGGCAAGTGGGTCAGACCCTTTTAACAGACCAGGAGTTTAGCTACTTGTAATCTTCCAGAAAGAAGGGCTTTAGCTGCAGCAGACCTCACACTTCCCTGTCATCCTCCTGCTGTGCCAGATCCTTGGTGATTCCTTTCATCGCAGGGTTCATCACACAGAGTCACTGAGATGCCCCGGGCATCTAGTGCTGCCACTGCTGCTACAACCCATCCCATGAAAATCCCAGAGATCCTTCCAGTGTGGCTTGGGCATGTATCTGCTGTTTCCAGCTCCTGGTAGGAAGAACACACATCCAAAAGGGCATCCTTCCCAGAGTGTTCGGTCCTGACTTTTACAGTCTATTAGGTAAGGACAGATTGGAAAGATTTTTCCCTGCTCCTGCTTGTTTGATTGAGCATTTAGGCACTGGAGCAAGGCAGAAGGGTAAGGGGAGGGGTCCTTTGGCTCCTGGACAAGCGTGTAAAAGTGGGTAGGAGAGCTAGAAATGGAAAACTGGTAAGAGTGGTAGGTGCAAGGAGCCAGGCTCTTGGTACCCACTGTTGGGATTGTTTCTATTGGAATAAACCAGAGATGAATCTCAAGAACTAAAATGTAGAGGCCTGGAGAGGTGAGTGTAAGAAGATGAGGAGCTGTCTGTTGGGAAGCACCAGTTATTCCTGGAGAAGGCCTGACCATGGGAACTGTGTGGATTGCTCTGCCCCCACCACGCAGGGGCTGTACTGGAAAGCGAGGTGCAGTGGGATCAGGGCTTTTTCCAAGGAGTCAGACTGAGCATCCTCTAGCATAGAGAGCAGTGGCAGAAACTTCCACTTTTGCCCCTTGCCGTCTAACTTGGGAAGGAAATAACTGTGGAAAGCTGTTCTCTTCTGGTCCCTTCACCCTCCCCTTTTTAGTTAGCAGTTTGTTCATGTGCCATCCAGCCCATGAGAAGAGCTCACAACCCCAAAAGCCTGTCAGGCTGCCAGAGCATCATGTCCTCAATGCCTGAGGCATCTGGGCATGATCTCCCCTCTTCACCCCACCTGGGTTTCACCCTGGCAGGGAGCCTCAGTTCAGGTCCTGCGTGCATCCTGAAAACGCCTTTCCCAGTTATGGAGCTCAGCATGGAGGAGATTTCCCATCTGCTTCTCCCACCCTGGAAAGGGCCCAGGAAAGACAGGTCTGTACAGGCATTATTGCCACTTGCTGCTGTGGTCTCCCAGGAGCTCAGGGCCAGCTGAGCCCCTCAGGCCAGCCAGGGCCAGCCTCTGGAGACCTTCTCAGCTCAAGGGAGTCGGTGGCCTCTCATCAGCACAGCCTCCCAACCTCAGCTTCACTCCTGCAGTCCTGGGATGCCCCAACTCCCTTTCCCACGGGCAGGCTTTCCATGCTGCTATTTGATTTTTTTCTTCTAACTACCACGTTGGCACTGTCCATCTCCTCCAGCAGGGCTGACAGGACTGGGAGCAGGAAAAGTTCTGCTCTGAGTCATGGTAAATCCAATGACTTTTTTTTTTTTTTCAGTTGGGGCAAAGCTTTGCCCTCTGTGTGTACCGTGCACCCAGAGGGATGTGGAGAGGGGAGCCATGGGACACAGCAAACTGCTCAGCTCTTGTCCCCTGTGCTCCCAGCCTTAGGCAAGGCCAGCTGGATGGCCTTGCAGCATCTACCACTGTTTGGGCCTAGAATGCTCAGTGGACTCCTAGGAAAGACCCTGGAGGCCACTGGGGGGGGAAGTGAGAGGGACATCACACACCGAGCCAGCGGTGTAGGACAACATCAAAGCAGAAGTCTGGGTGAAGAGAAGAGGTGCTCATACTGGTGAAATTCAGCTGCTCATGAAGTCCAGGTCACATTAGTGCCAAGATCTTCTCTGTCACAGAGAGTGGAGCCAGGGCTGCACCTTACCTTGGGCCACCAGACAGCTCCAGGCTCTGGGTGATGTCCATGGCCAGGGGGAGAGAAAGCTGGAGTGGAAGGCGGTGAATGGTTCATGGTGGGGTGGGAAACTCCAATCAGCTGCTACCCCTCTCCCTCCCCACCCTCTGGCAGATGGGCTGAGCTGGTGTCCTCCTGCTTTTCTTGCATCTTCTGCTGTCCCACCCAGGCTGAGAAAGGAGGATGGCACCAGAGGACTCTTGGAATCGGGTTCCAGCTACCTCCCTTCCGGTTTCAGTTTCACTTGGTTGTAACTGTCGGTTTGTTTGAGGTTTTACCTGTGTTTAAGAAAAAAAAAGGAAAAAAAAAAGGGAAAAAAAAAAAAAAAAAAAAAAAGAAAAAGGAAAAAAAAAAAAAAAAAAAAAAAAAAAAAAAAAAAAAAAAAAAAAAAAAAAAAAAAAAAAAAAAAAAAAAAAAAAAAAAAAAAAAAAAAAAAAAAAGAAAGCCCGATAGCCAACATAAGTTTCTTACTGCAACTGATTCAAATGGGGAAAAAAAATAACAAGTGAGGCTTTACAGAGAGGGATAAAAGAGGGGGAAAAAAGAAAAAAAAAACCCAAACATAAAAAAGGAGAAAAGGAAAAGAAAAGAAAATCCGCATAATCCAAATCCAAGAAGAGCAAAGCCTATTTTTGTGTGTTTGAAAGGAAAACACCGATTCTGCCAGCTGAGTAGACAGCTAGATACTAAGTGTAGATTTCCCTAGAAGTACCGTGAGGTTTTATAACATTGTCTGGTTTTGTTTTCCTTGTGCGTTGTGATAAATCCAGGAACTAAGGCTAAGGGGTTTTTCCCCTGGTATATTGTTGTTTGTAGGGGGAGGGGGGCGGATTTTGGTTTGTTTTTTTTTTTTTTGCCAGATTATTTTTTTAAGTGTGTATTTGTGCTTATTTTTACATTATCCAACTGTACATACGCATTTAACCAGTATTTCACTGTGCTCTAATTACTGCACTCAGAAGCACTGCACAGTCTGAATCCCAGAGAGCTGAGAGAGACTAGGAGTGAGTGGGGAAGGAGAAAGCTGCTACCTGAGCAGACAGGTGATTCCCAAAGGTGGGAAGCGGGATGCCAACCATCCCCTTCCCGCACTCCAGCTGGTTGTTTCCATCGACGCCAAGCTACAAGACAGGAAGGGATGGGGTAGAGTCAGGCAGAGATGGGGTGAAGTCAGCCAAGGCTGGGATGCTCAGAGGAGTTTCAGAGCTGGCAGTTTGGCCTTTGAAATGTTTTGGATGCCGTGGAAATTCCCAGCCTTTCGGCACCATCTTGCCCTCCCCTGCCCGATCCCTGGAGGCCCCAGTTATGGGCACGTTCCTACCACTGGGAGAGGACCATGTGCCTGGCACAGATACAGTTGAGATAATCTCCATGGTTTTGGGCCCCATTTTGGTCTCAGTGGTGCAGCTGAACGGATTTGCTTTACGTTTTTTTCCACGTCATCCCGTCCTGTGGGGAAGGCCATCTCCCTGCTGGGGATGCAGCAGTGCTCCTGCCTCCAACTGACCTTATATGTTGGGCAAACTGAAGCCCTGAGGACATTACCCTTTCTCTGAAAGACCTTGACCACTGAGTTCAGCGGGAGCACGACCAAAACATCAGCAGGAGCAGGTCCGGGTGGCCCAAGGTGTATTTCCTTGGAGCTACAGTCAGTGTGGGCAAGAGGGGTTTGGTGTTGGGCTGTTCCTGCCATCTGGGGGGTTCAGATCCCAGTTCATTTTAGCAGGAGCAAAGTGAGGCTTCACGTTTCGTTTCTGTCTTTGTTTGGCAAACCGAACTTTCCCCTTTTCACCGGATCTACACATCCAAGATTCATTAAGGATGAGAATCACTTCCTCTGAGGCCACACACAAGAGCTTGAGTTGGCTTCAGGTGTTCGATGAGGAGTCTTGGTGCTACTTGGTGGTGGTGTTAGTCCTGTCAGGTCGAGATACGGAGCTAACGAGTCCAAGTTGTCTTTGGTTCCCGTTCTGGCTTAGTTTAGTCTTTTGGTTTTTTTTTTTTTTTCATTCTTTTGGTGAGGCCATAATTCAGCCACCAGTTTCCATCTTCTGAGTGCAAAGAACCAGGGCTTTAACGAAACATTTCACCAGCAATTCAAGAGGGAATTGGAACCATTGCGGAGTTTGCATTGTACGGCCTCTGTAATTACGTACCTGTCTGCAGATGATGGGCTGAATTTTGCTCCCATCAAGTCAACACAGGTTTTTGTTGTTGTTGTTGACTTCCCTGGGAGCAGGATTGAGCCGTACTATATATATAAATATATATATAAATATATATATGATATATATATAATATTATGTGTTTAATATTATATATATATCAGTGTAATATTTACAAATAAAACTGTGATCTCGTCTAGAGAAAAATGTATTCATATTACCAACTGCTCTTCCATATTTATGTATCATATTGTATCTTTTTATTATTGTTATAATTATTATGATTATTATGGTTATTATTATTATTATTATTATGGAATCTTTCTTGGCACCTTTTGGAAGCCACGTCAACCAATACTCCAATGAAGTGCTGAGGATCTATTTTCACAAGAATTCTACTGGTCTACTGTATAAAAGAGAAAAGAAAAAAAAAAAAGAAACAAGCAAAATACAATTCAACCCTTAATTCTGTACCTCACGCCTGTATGTTTGCTGCTCTGATTTTGGGTTTTATTTTGCGTTCGTTTGTTTTTAACGGATCTAATTTAAGTCTCCAAGCAATATATAAAGATGTAAATAGTAAAGCTTATTTATTAAGATTGTCATCTTTTTTAATTTATATTTACACAGTTGTTCATCTAATTTATTTTTTTTTTCAATACAGTTTTTAACAGTTGTCCTTGTTTTTGGTTCATGATGTTTTTTAAATCATTTTCACAGAATTTCTTTATACAGGTTTTTCTCTTTCTTTTAATAAGCAACAACTTCCTCTGGTCTTTCAAAAACAGGTCATGTTTCACTTCAGAAAGAAAAAAGTTATGTCAGATTCATCAGAAATATTTTGCCATTGTTGATTCCTATACCCTAAAGTTCTATATTATATAAATATATAATACCTTGTATGCTTAAATATTTAACTGTGTGATTTTGTATATATCTTCATACACATGCTCACACACATATGAGGGTTAATGTCCCCCGATGTTGGGAGAACAGAGAATCAGAAACACAAACAATATAAGC